ACAGATGAAGGGGAGACTACTATGGTTACCTTCACAACAGTTAGCTAGCTCGTCTGGTTGGTCATTATTACTGAGTGACTGAATTAATTCTTAAGTAGGTGCTCCATACGATGTTGTTCCAAATAAATCTAGGCCTACTCAATGACAAGCATAGTTGCTCTTAAGTTGGGCTGGACTTTAATCATAAGATAGCTATCTCCAATTTTCATCGCGGCAATTTGACACTTGGGTAAAAAAAAAGCTTCTTTTTTTGTTTAATCATGGGCAGGTGGCCGGGTGGTTAGAATGTTCGCATTATGACCATGAAACTCGGGTTCGAATCTCATCATGGTCAATTTGTCAGGACGGAGACTTCCTGATGTTATCGGACTGGAGGGTTCGATCCCAGCATGCAGCACCTTTAGAAAGTGCCTGAAAGCGAACCTTATGAGTGAAATTGGGTAGACGGAGCCATTGGGTGTAGTCGATAGCTGTGCTCGCACGAAGTCACAAGTCATCGTGGCCGAGGGCTTGAGCGTGCTTGGCCTTGTTCAAATTAACCACGCTAGATAACATGCTCTTTCCCAGAAACTGTAACTAAGGTCTGCTCAGCATAGTTACAGTATAAACCACAGGTGGGCTCTGTTGATGTTGAATAAACACAAATGCGCCTGAGTAAGCGACTGCAAGAGGGATTGGCTAGCCGTCCTAGTAGAGGAGTATCCGCGAATCGAGTGGCCAACTATAAAAAATTATCATAAGCAGACAGACTGCTATAATTTCTTATATAAATATCATGGTATTGGTTAACTATCACACCAGATTATTCACTCTACCTGAAATTTTAACTAAACTCCGGTCAGCATAGTCAGGGTATAGCTGTTGGAATTGTAGAAACACAAATGTGTCTGAGCATACGTCTATAAACACTAGCAGAGAGTAATGCTTGGAAAGAAACAACCGGCTTTTGTTAGTGCCATCAGAAAAAAATATGTCTATATCTCTGAGACGAGGTACCATGATTACTTGCATTATTTACATTATTTGAACTGTTATCCTCATCTTCATTGCCATATTCACAACTTTTCGGCCGTTGTACGCTTCGGCCTTATTCCGGATCTGTCTATATCTCTGAGATGAGATATTATGATTACTTGCATTATTTACATTATTTGAACTGTTATCCTCATCTTCATTGCCATATTCATAACTTTTTCGGCGTTGTACGCTCCGGCCTTATTCCGGATCTGTCTATATCTCTGAGATGAGATATTATGATTACTTGCATTATTTACATTATTTGAACTGTTATCCTCATCTTCATTGCCATATTCACAACTTTTCGGCCGTTGTACGCTTCGGCCTTATTCCGGATCTGTCTATATCTCTGAGATGAGATATTATGATTACTTGCATTATTTACATTATTTGAACTGTTATCCTCATCTTCATTGCCATATTCACAACGTTTCGGCCGTTGTTCGCTCCAGCCTACTTCAGGTGATTGGAATTTCGATCCGAACCCTTTATTTCGACCACCGGGGTAAATTGTTCTAGTTCTATGTGCCAAGCAGGGAAATAACTGAGACAGATCAGGACCAGTGATAATGCATATTCTTCTTTCGATTTGATCAAGAATCTTTAAATATATATCAGGAACACCAGACCATATGTGGCAGCAATATTCAAGACATGGGTGATCTGTAGATTAATAAATATGTAAGATAGATACTGTAGAGAAAAATTATCTTACGCGATACAGTGAACCAATTTTAATGCCGCAGACCTAGCAAGTGACTTAATATAATCGTTCCATTTCATGTCAGCGGAAAACGTTAGTCCGAGAAGCATCAACCATGTCGGTGGAAAGCAGAAAGTGTTCTTTTAGATGATTAATAGAGAGAAGTTTCGTTTTGGAAGCGTTAAAATTAACAAGCCATTCATTGCCCCAGTTAACAACAGATTGGTGGTCATTTTTAAAATCAGCTGCCAATTTGACATTATCGAACCGATAAGATTTGTGAGATTACTTTTCTATTTGTCTATGACGGGTACCTTGGATGTTAGAGTTTACTAGTCATAACTTGCGAGATTACTTTTGTGTTTTGCAGACACCCTCGAGGATAAAGTTCCCTAACAACAGCTTGTGAGTTTAAATATAAACTGAATGTGAGTCTCGTATGGCAGAATATTACAAGACTGTGTAATCATCATGTATCGATGTCATTGAAAATGGTCTTTAAGATCAGTAACGATCAACGCTCTATAGAACTGTTTTAAATATTTGTAAATGAAGGTAAAATGTCGGTTGATTAGTTATATTGTCGAAAATCGCTAAATGTCCCTTTTCGTCCTTTTCTCGTTGTCATCTATAAGTCTCTGATTGGTATTCTGAAATTTGTATTTTCTCTGTTACTTCATTATTGACCCTGCCTCAATCGATTAACTTAATAATGATCCAGTGTGCTAACACCCTGAATTATATTTCAGTCCTTTTTACGTTCACCTTTGATACATCTTCTAATGCCACCCTGTTTGTTAGGGATCTGGATTTCTGTGAAAATCATCCTTAAGGCTTAAAAAAAACGATGCTTCTTCATATTCCCAGGTCATTCAATGACTGGAAGGTAAAGACTAACAATAGGTAATGAAGAGAGAGAGGGAGAGAGAGAGAGAAAAAGAGAGAGAAGAGAGAGAGAGAGTGGGAGGAGGTGAAAATAACAAAGAGAGGAAAACGAAAAATAGTAAAAATAAAGCAGTGAATATATATATATATATATATATATATATATATATATATATATATATATATATATATATATATCCTTACTCTGTCCTGGACATTGAGTTCTACCTGGATTCTATCCTCTTGGAATTATTTTTACATATATATATATATATATATATATATGTGTGTGTGTGTGTGTATGTATGTATATATATATATATTTATATTTTAGATATATGTATATATATGTATGTGTATATTAACCACTAATATTATCTATCTATCTATCTATGTATGTCTCTCTCTCTCTCTCTCTCTCTATATATATATATATATATATAGAGAGAGAGAGAGAGAGAGATAGATAGAGAGGAGAGAGAGAGAGAGAGAGAGAGAGAGAGAGAGAGACAGACAGACAAACAAACAGAGAGAAAGAGAGAGGGGAGACTGAGAAAAAATAATGAAGGAGATTGAAAAGAAAAGAAAAAGGGAAAATATATTGGAATAATTTCTATCAATATCATTTCTTGCTACCCACTTTTTTTACCTGGTATGCAACGAAAGCCGCTGGTTGGATATTTCTGCCAATTTATTTATTTATTTATTCATTTATTTATTATCGCTTTTCGTTCTTTGCTCCTTACTTTTTATGTTTCGATAAGTGATTTATGTTAAAAATGACATTTTTTAGTGTATTTTATTATCTTCATTCTTCTCTTGTTGGGTTTTGCAATTAAAAACGCCCTTACTGCATTTTTAGACACATTTGGGAGCCAAAGAAAGTAACGACAGTTATCTTAGCTTTCTTAATCTGTCTTCTGATCTTTTCAGTTAGTCTATCGAGAACATAAATTTCCTTCCTTTTTTTTTTTTTGAGTTAATTTCTTCGGCGTTTTTTGTTCGATCATTTACATTTCTTTCGTTTTTCCTTGTTTATCACTTTTCATTAACTTTTTTCATTCGTTCGTTTTGGATAATTTTTTTCTTTCTGTTTTTAAAAATTTGCTTTTATTAACATTTTTTCGTTTACTTTCCTTCTTACTTTCTTTTAACATTTTTAAATTAATTTTTTCTTTCTTTAAGAATCTTCTTTCTTTCTCCCTTTCTTTTCTTTCTTCTATTTTTTCTTTTTTGCCTTTCCTTAGTATCTTAATTCTTTTTGTTTTTTACCTTTTTAAAATACCCTTTTTTTCTTTAAGAATCTTCTTTCTTTTTCTTTCTTTCTTTCTTTCTTTCTTTCTTTCTTTCTTCTATTCGTTTTTCTTTTTTGCTTTTCCTTTGTCTCTTATTTATTTCTTTCTTTCCTTTACCTTTTTTTTAAATAACCTTCTTCTTTCCTTAAGAATCTTCTTTCTTTCTTTCTTTCTTTCTTTCTTTCTTTCTTTCTTTCTTTCTTTCATCCCTTCTTTCTTCTGTTCGTTTTTCTTTTTTTCCTTTCCTTTGTCACTTATTTCTTTCTTTCTTTTACCTTTTTAAATAACCTTTTTCTTTCTTTAAGAATCTTCTCTCTTTCTGACTTTCTTTCTTTCTTTCTTCTATTCATTTTTCTTTTTTGCCTTTCCTTTTTCTCTTAATTCTTTCTTTCTTTTACCTTTTGAAAGAACCTTTTTCTTTCAAGACTCTTCTTTCTTTCTTTCTTTCTTTCTTTCTTTCTTTCTTTCTTTATTTCTTTCTTTGTTTTTTGCCTTTCCTTTGTCTCTTATTTCTTTCTTTCTTTTACCTTTTTAAATAATCTTTTTCTTTCTTTACGAATCTTATTTCATTTTCTTTCTTTCTTTCTTTCTTTCTTTCTTTCTTCTATTCGTTTTTCTTTTTTGCTTTTCCTTTGTCTCTTAATTTTTTCTTTTATCTTTTTTAAATAACCTTCTTTCTTTCTTTCTTTCTTTCTTTCTTTCTTTCTTTCTTTCTTTCTTTCTTCGATTCCTTTTACTTTTATGCTTTTCCTTTCTATTTCTTAATACTTTCTTTTTGAACAGCTCATTTCCGCAAATCTTCTCACCTTTTCATTCATATGTAAAATATAACGAAGAAAATATATAATGAACTCGAAGATAAATGCAACAACCATTATAAACAAAATAAAACAGATCAGCGCAAAGATATACCCTAAAAAAGGAAGAAAATATTAAAAACTAAGTTTTCCTTTGGAATTTGAAAATGGCTGTCTCTATCTTTCATATTCATCGATAATCTTGAATACATTTACAAAATATTTACATTGCATACACACAACATGCACACATGACATATACACACATGCAGTGGCACGCTGAAATAGTCAGAGTTACCGGTCCTAGCTCCCAGAGACCATCCTCTCGATAAGGGCTGAATGGTGAGGGAAGATATGCGATAGATAGATAGATAGATAGATAGATAGATAGATAGATAGATAGCGACACAGAACACATTCATTTCTATCTATCTCGAGCGATAACTGCCCAAGCTACAAAAAATAAATAAAAATGAAAATATAATAATAATAATAATAATAAAAAAACAAATGAAAAGAAAAAGAAAATCCAACCCCGTCCCAACCTCCAGTGTCCTTTAGGTTTCCCATTAGCGCCGGCAAGATGAACAGCGCGAATGGCGATGTGTCGTTGTTTTCATAATCTTCTTTTCAATTATGGGCCGCTTCGTGATTTTAGTTGTTACTTCGACAGCGTGGCTGTTATCAACAATATGCATAAGCCACGGTCCCACTCGAACGCCGCCATATTCTCTTCTCATTGAAACGCTCGATTCAGTTTAATATCAGGCCAATAATTCCTCAATAGTGATTGTAATGATATCAATGGAAAACGGGATCGACCTTTGCAGAAGGATTCTGTGTTTGAGTAAAACAAAGTTTTTTTTTGCTATTTTTTTTTATAGAACGAGAGAGATAGATGGGACGGAGTATAGGGATAGATTTGAAGATCGAGTGAGAAAAAGTAAAAAAGAAAAAGAAAAAGGAGAATAAAACAATAAAGAGAGACAAGAAAGGACAGAGAGAAAAAAAAAACAAAGTAAAGAATGCGAGAGAATAAAAAAAGAGGGAGGTATAAGAAGAGGGAAGGAGTGAGAAAGTAATAAGAATGAATTTGAAGCTAGCGAAGATTAAGAGATGGAGGAAGAGGAAGGAGAAGACAATCAAAGAAAAAAAAGAGAGAGGACAGGGAAAGATGCCTCCACGTGCATGCGCATTCTCAGAGAAAGAGAGAGAGAGAGAGAGAGAGAGAGAGAGAGAGATACAGGTAGCCATACAGGCAGGCAGGCAGACAAAGTATGATGATGAGTTTGAAGATGGAGAGAGTAAAAAGTAAATACGGAGAAAGAAGAGGAGAATAAAGAAAGTATATAGAGAAAAAAACAAAGCAAAGTGGGTGAGAAAATAAAAAAGAGAGAGGTATAAGCAGAAAGATGAAACGAGAAAGAGTTTGAAGATAATGAGAACAAATAAAAAGGGCGAATAAATTAAGAGATAGACAAAGGATAGTTAAAGATAACAGAGAGAGATTGAGAAAAGAAAAAGAAGAAGAAGGAAATAGAAGAAGAGAAGCATTAGGAGAAGAACAGAGGTGGATTTGAAGATCGGAAGAAAAAGAAAGAAAAAAGAGAGGAACGAAGAAGAAAGAAAGAAACAACAATAACAAAAGAAAAGAGATAAACAGGAGATTGAAGATAACGAAAACAGTAGAGAAAAATAGAGAACATGAGAGAGAAAGAAAAGAATATGAAGAAGAAAGAGGGGAGAGAGAAAAAGAGAAACTTGAAGTCGGGGAGAAGCAAAAGTGACCAAGTTGAAAGAAAGGAAAGAGAGAGAGAGAGAGAGAGAGAGAGAGAGAGAGAGTAAGGAACAAAAAAAGAGGAATACAGGCAGAGAAAGGGAACATGTGAGAAAGACATGGAAAGGGAACATAATATCCGAGAAAGACGAGGAAAAGGAACATAATATTCGAGAAAGACGAGGAAAAGGAACATAATATTCGAGAAAGACGAGGAAAAGGAACATGATATCCGAGAAAGACGAGGAAAAGGAACATAATATTCGAGAAAGACGAGGAAAAGGAACATAATATCCGAGAAAGACGAGGAAAAGGAACATAATATCCGAGAAAGACGAGGAAAAGGAACATAATATCCGAGAAAGACGAGGAAAAGGAACATAATATTCGAGAAAGACGTGAAAATGGAGCATAATATTCGAGAATGACAGGAAAGGGAGGATAATGCCCGAGAAAGACATGAAAAGGGAGCATAATATTTGAGAAAGACGTGGAAAGGGAGCATAATATTTGAGAACGACCTGGAAAGGGGGCATTATAGCCGATAATGACATAGAAAGGGAGGATAATATCCGAGAAAAACATGAAAAGGGAGCATAATATCCGAGAAAAAATGTGGAAAGTGAACAAAATATCGAGAAAGACAAGAAAAGGAAACATAATATCCGAGAAAGACATGAAAAGGGAGCATAATATTTGAGAATGATGTGGAAAAGGAGCATAATATTGGAGAATGACATAGAAAAGGAACATAATATTGGAGAATGATGTGGAAAGGGAGCATAAAATCCGAGAATGACATTGAAAGGGAGTAAAATATCCGAGAAATACAAAGAAAGGGAGAATAATATCCGATAAAGACGTAGGAAGAGAACATAATATCCGAAAAGACATGAAAAGGGAGCATAATATCCGATTAAGACGTGGAAATGGAACATAATATTTGAGACAAGGAAAGGGTTGAGTGATTTGTTTTCTTACCCTTAGGTTATTTTGAGGACAAAAATTTTGAATTGTAAGAATTATATTTACAAGTGAATATCGGATTAACAATTTTCTTTATTGTGATATCAATTATTTTTTTTAACTATTTAACCCATTGATTGTGGAGAAGAGATGGCTTGATACGTTAACCATGGGTAATTGCGTCCTGGAAAGGCCTGGAAATGGAGTATAAAATCCAACAACGACCGAGAGAAACGATATAACGTCCGAGAAAGATCTGGAAAAGCAACATAACATCAGAGAACGAGTGGGAGAAACGATATAACGCCCGAGAAAGATCTGGAAATGGAACGTAACATCCGAGAACGAGCTGAAGAAACGATATGACATCTGAGAGAGCTCTGGAAAGGAGTATGACAACCGAGAGAAACGATATAACACCCGAGAAAGATCGGGAAAAGGAACATAGCATCCGAGAACGAGCGGAAGAAACGATATGACATCCGAGAAACATCTGGAAAAGGAGAATGACATCCGAGAACGATCTGGAGAAACGATATAACATCCGACAAAGATCTGGAATAAAAGTGTAACATCCGAGAACATGCGAGAAAAAAGATATAACGTCCGAGAAAGATTTGGAAAAGGAGCATACTTCCGAGAACGAGTGTGAGAAACGATATAACGCCCGAGTAAGTTCTGGAAAAGGTACATAACATCCGAGAATGAGCGGGAGAAACGACATAACTTCCGAGAAACATCTGGAAAAGGGGTATGACATCAAAGAACAACCTACAGAAACAATATAACGCCTGAAAAAGATCTGGAAATGGAACGTAACATCCGAGAACGAGCGGAAGAAACGATATAACATGCTAGAGAGCTCTGGAAAAGGAGTATGATATCTAAGAGAAACGATATAAATGTCTGAGAAAGATCTGGAAAAGGAGCATAATATCCAATAATGACTGGGAGAAACGATTTAACGGTCGAGAAAGATCTGGAAAAGGAATGTAACTTCGGAGAACGAGCGGCAGAAACGATATAACGTCTGAGAAAGATCTGGAAAAGGAGTATGACATCCGAGAACAACCGGGAGAAATGATATACATCCGACAAAGATCTGGAAAAGGAGCGTAACATCCGAGAACGAGCAGGAGAAACAATATAACGTCCGAGAAATATCAGGAAAAGGAGCATAACATCCGAGAACGACTGGAAGAAACGATATAACACTCGAGTAAGGTCTGGAAAAGGTACATAACATCAGAGAATGAGCGGGAGAAACGATATAACGCCCGAGAAAGATCTGGAAAAGAAACATAACATCCGAGAACGACTGGGAGAATCGATATAACATCCGAGAAAGATGAAAAGGAGCATAAAATCCGATAACAAGCGGGGGAAATGATATAACGTCTGAGAAAGCTCTGGAAAAGAAACATACCATCCGAGAACGAGCGGGAGAAACGATATAACGTCCGAGAAGGATCTGGAAATGGAACGTAACATCCGAGAACGAGCTGAAGAAACGATATGACATCCGAGAAAGATCTGGAAAAGGAACGTAACATCCCAGAATGAGCAGGAGAAACGATATAACATCCGAGATAGAGTTAGAAAAAGAGAGTAAAATATGAATAAGACCTCAAATCACTGCTTACGATTCGAGAAAAATGATTGAACTATTACCTGTCTAAAATCGACGGTACTGTTATTTTTTTTATTTTGCTTGAAACCATAATAAATATTATATCGAAAAAGAGGGAAGATATAGAGACGGTGGCTGCTTTGTAAACATGGCGCTGACATTCTCTCGGTATAACGGATCCTACGAAATCTGTGACGTCGTACACTAATGGCGATGACGTTTATGCCTCAAGGAAATGACGACGTCATGATCAAATGCTAAACCAGACATTGTTTTGAGGGAAAAAGAAAAACAAACACGCACACACACCGCGCGTAATAGAATTACTATAAACCTTATTTTAGGTGCATAGACGGGTTTCAGTAAATATATCATTTATTTTCAAACAGTGAAATTTGTGTCTAGGTTCTTGCAGCATTTCAACATTCTTGGTAGATCTGTTATCCCAATTTGGGATATTTAATAACAAAAGTGATGGAAACATAAACAAAAAGAAAAGAATCTAAATGAAATCGGCTACATTATTTACCGAAAACACATATTAGAAAAAGAATTATTTTCAAATTTAAAATTTCTAGTGTCTCTCGTTCGTGCGCATGCGCATGAACGTAAATATAAACTTTATCCGATGAAGTCCTGAAGTACAAAACACGAAAAATCTTACTTTTTCCGCTTTGTCACACTTCATTTCCCCTAAAATTTATCTTCATATGTAAAAAAACTTATATATTCATTATTTACATTATTCGGACTATTGTCCTCATCTTTGTCGCCATATTTATTACAACGTTTCGGCCGTTGTACGCCCCGGGCCCTTCAGGTGGTTAATGTCGAACTGAACCCTTATTTTGCTCACTGGGTAGACTGTTCTAGTTCGATGTGCCATATTTAATGGATGTCAGTTATAAGTTATCTCCTGTTAATTTCCTTTACAAAATTCTCCACTGCCTTAGTCGGGTATTGAACTCACACTCTTTGGGTCCTGTCACTGTATCTAACTAACACCTTTATCCACTGTGCCATGTGTCCTTGAGGCAGTGGAGAACTTTCAAAGGGAATTAACAGGAGATAACGACTTGAAAAACTCACGTAATTTCTACCCCGTGAGCGAAATAAAGGGTTCGATTCGTCATTCCAACCCTGAAGAAGGCCGGAGCGTACAACGGCCGAAACGTTGTCATAAACATGGCAACAAAGATGAGGACAATAGTCCGAATAATGTAAATAATGTACATAATACCTCATCTCAGAAATATAGACATATTTTAAATGAACTCCTTTACAAAGGCTGTCACTTTCAACGAAAGGATACTAAAATATTATGCACAAATTAAATTTAATACACAAACCATGATCCCAGTCAAATCTTACTAGGCATAAAATGACACAATAAAGGTTGATATGCGTTTAAACTTAATCAAATTATTTATGAGGTGTTAGCAGATGATAAATACTTCTATCTTTCTTTTTATTTTTCATTGAAACCAAGTAGCATATATATAATGAATGATACACAGTGGAACACATAATTATAAAATCTATAGATTTATGTCTGGTCCGTGAAAAGTATTATCAGGCAAACAATATGAATGAACTCTTCAATAGGATGGATCCAAATAAAATAATTTAATTTCTTAAGGAAACCAAGAAAAAAAGCATTATTTACATTATTCGGACTATTGTCCTCATCTTTGTCGCCATATTTGTCACAACGTTTCGGCCGTTGTACGCTCCGGCCTTCTTCAGGTGGTTGGAATTTCAAACTGAACCCTTTATTTCGCTCACTGGGGTAGACTGTTCTAGTTCCACGTGCCATGTTTGATGGATGTCAGTTATCAGTTATCTCCTGTTAATTTTCCTCTGAAAGTTCTCCACTGTCTTAACCGGGTATTGAACTCACACTCTTTGGGTCTTGTCATTGGATCTAACCAACGCCTTTATCCTTGAGGACACATGGCACAGTGTACAACGGCCGAAACGTTGTGATAAATATGGCGATAAAGATGAGGACAATAGCCCGAATAATGTAAATAATGTACATAATACCTCATCTCACAAATATAGACAAAAAAAGCAATGTCTAATCTTGAAAAATAAGTAAATGAATAAAATAATCTCCAATTTAATACCAAAATCATTAACTTTAAATGAACTTCTTTACAAATCTTATTCGGCATGAATTGACCTAACAAAGCTTGATATACAAATATAATATATAATAAATATAATGATAAATATAATGATATAATATAATGTATAATGATATACAATATATAAACTCAACAATCTAGCACAGATGAAGAAAAAGTGAGAAAGATGTGTTTCTATTAACGAATGCTATGGACTGAACATGTGAGCAACGAGGAAGTTTTGTGGAAAAATAGGAGAAACAAGAAAGATATTTAAAATATGAAATATACTGGGAAACTTTCCGTGAAAATTAATGAGGAAAGAATGCCTATAGAGTATAACACTCACAGGACATATTGACGGCAATAGAAGCAGTGTGTGGAGAGACCGTGAAATCTAAATATGGGGTTGTATAACTCGATGGTAGAACAGGCCTCCAAAAAGGATGGCAAACGATCGAAGGACACTTAGAGCTACAAATGATATGAAGCTGCGAAGAGGCATGATAATCTACCTCTGTCTGCTTTTATGGACTATGAGAGAGAGAGAGAGAGAGAGAGAGAGAGAGAGAGAGAGAGAGAGAGAGGTGAAACTGGCTGGTAAAACATTCGCGTGGAATAACTGATGCAAGTGTTTCTGTTGAAGGCGATGACTGTGGTGGCGGCGGCGGTGGTGGCGGTGGTGGCGCAGAAATAAACCAGGGTTGGTTGGCGGGTATGGAAAAGGGATGATGGTGAGATAGTTTGGTGGACGAACGAACGAACGAACGGACGGACAGAATTGGTCGGTGTCCACCTGCGGCTCGTTAGTCATATTTGATGCAGAGGGGTGCAGATTCAGATGTCAGTGCGTGGCCTGTTTTCACATGGCTGCCACTCTGTCGACTCGACGCTCCACTAACAGAGGCGGCCAGGCGTGTAAAACCAATTGAAAAAAAAAGTGCCCGGATTGATGGGAGTCTACAAAACATTTTCTCTGTGTGTTTGTCATACAATATCGATGGGTGCGCCTTTGAGCACACGAATGTCTAGATGTGTGTGCAATCATATATATATATATATATATATATATATATATATATGTGTGTGTGTGTGTACATGTGTTTGTACGTGTAACAAGTTATAAAAGTAGAGGGAATTTAAATTTTTCGCAAAGGATTTGATGCTGTAAAAGTTCTCAGCACGACCTACATCTTGAAATCTGATCAAATGTACAAACAAAACTTTCGGTGTTATCCCGCGTAGAAAAATACGCAGATGAATCAATAAGTCTGCAGCCTAATAAAAAAAGAAAAGTAAAAATCAAACAATGAAAAAAAAAAAAAAAAAAATATTTGTTTTTAAAAATGACAAATATTTATCTTTTATTTTTATAACATAAAACGACTTCCTTTCAAATGAACTTAATTCAGAGAAAACCAAGTTCCCACACTTTTTTTTTTAACATTATGCAATGAAAATTTCAGATTGAAATTCAACTGACTGCGTTTCATGCTACGGAATTGTTGATCCACCTTTGATTGTGCCGAATGCGATGGGTAAATTGTCGCCATTTTATATTTTTTATTTCGCTCATGTGCGTTGATTGTTTTGACTTTGTCGACTGCACAGTATAGTAGGGTCAGTTGGGCACCGTCTGTGAGAAAAAGAGCACCATGACGTAATTCACTCCGACAGAAATTTGGAAATGGCATGCTGTACTGTTTGGCATTCGCACCAGAAGCTCCAATACGAACATTTTAGAGTATTTGGGTGTCAATCTGAGGTCAGTAATGCTGAGGAATCAGAAAGAGTTGGACGAGTCTAATGGTAATTACGAATGTACGGCAACTCGGAAATGTCACTCTGATCGTTCTGGTAAGAACTCCCGAATTTATTGGTGAGGGCCTCAAACTCAACACGGAGACCTGCATCAAGTGCCTGAACAAACGGCAATTTATCCATCGCACCCTGCAACAAGGGGTGGCTGCTGGAATGCCCTATGTCTGGCAACATGGCTCTGTACCATGCCACATAAGCAAGAGAACCATGTCATGACTGTCAGACGATTTATGCGGCCACATCATCCCTTATATCTGGTCACCTAACTCTCCAGACTGCAACCCCCTTGATTACTATGTGTGGGGTGCAGCTGGGCGTGTGACCAAAACAACACCTTGTAACACCAAAGATGAACTGAAGACAATGATTATGGCAGCATTCGCCAACTTAAACAAGAAGACCGTCCAGAAGAGTTGCAGGAGATTCCAAAGTCGTCTGGAGGCCGTGGTTGAAGCCAATGGCGATTTTATTGAATAAGTTTACTCTTTAGTATTTCAAGAGATTTTTGTGCAATTTTGGTAAATATACATGTTAAAATGAGATATCAGTGTCATTTCCATTTTTGCATAATTTAGACGTCAATTTATCCATCGCACCCTGTACATCAGTGCGAATTTGATTTAGAAAGTATATATATATATATATATATATATATGGATCCCAGTTTCAGAATTGTAGAAAAATGCTAATAGATTTAAGTACTGTTACTGAAAACTCATTTTTTGTATAAAACCGGCTCACAGAAAGTAACTCAATCTTTGTATATTGACTGGCTCCAAATATTTGAAATTTTGTATTCACATATATTAACCAACCAGCGACGTCGTACGTGACGCGCGGTATTCTTTGGATTGGCAGACAGTAAAATATTCTTTGGATTGGCAGACAGTAAAATATCTTAGAATTAAATTTTGGAGGCTCAACTTCAGAATATGTTCAACAATATTTTTCTTCCTTAAAAGGAATATTTAAAAATTAAAAATATTAGCCAATGAGCTTTAGATTAATAAATCAAAATTTTAGATCCATCCGAAGCCTACTATTTTATTATAAGTATGATCAATTCATGTTTGCTATCTGTTATACTGGAATAAAGTGTTACTGCCACTGTTTGGACATAAATCGCCAGTGAGCAAAAACAGGCTATCCCATTATTGTGGATCACGTGACCATAGAGGAAACGCATATATAGGGTCGTGTGACGTCTATTGATTGCTATTTCTATTCTATCCTCTATTACTATTCGGATCAACATTTCTACTCTATACTATACGGACCGCTATTCTCTACTCTATTCACTATACTATTCCTCTCTTCGGATCACTATACAGTGTTTACTATTCGAACGAGTATTATCAAGCAAGATCTATTAGTGCGAGTGTTATTCGAAGTTGTCTGACACTAGTATTGTTCAACGGCGTACTATAGTTATATCTGCGATTACAAAGTCTCTACTACAACGAGCATTACGAAAGTGACAACAAGTATTCGTTGACATTCCAAAAGTGGCAACGAGTGTTCGTTGACATCATAAAACTAACAAATAAATATGATCAATTCTTGTTTTCAGTGAACCTTTGACCAGGGTGTTTGTTCGATCGTTTGTCACACAAGTGGGACTGAAATTCTCACAATTAATTACATCTTTCGCATTTTTATTCGAGTATACAATATTATAAAATAATGCTTCGCGATAATTTGTGTTTGTGATATTTGTGAGATCTACCTATCTTAAACACGCAGATCCTTCAGTTCTTGCATAGTTCCTACATGCTGGGAGGCCTTGGGCGACGGCGCCAATTCGATAATAAAGTTGCATTCTTCTCTCGCGGCCGGTGATCAGTAATTGTTTTGAGTCCAGAGATAAGAGAATTTCAACACAGGGAATTTTAACCTATTTTATTAACGTTCAGGTCGACATGTTCTATCTATCCAGTGGGGGTCGTTCCCTCTCACTGGGGAGCCGTTTCAGACCCGAAAGAAAACACGTCTACACAGTTTAACGGCGAAGACTCGACTCTCTGAAACCTTTCTTCCTTTCCACGCTGGCTCAGCTAATCAAAACCGACTACCTTATTTTGGCTTGCATCTGACCTCGAAGGTCAACTTTTGAAAGTCTCAACTAAGATACAATTCCCCCTAAAAATAATAGTGTGCTAAACTATTATTTAACACAGTCACCACGCAGGCAATATTTACTTCAGAAATCAGAACTTAGTTTTGTATAAAGGCAAATGAAGAGGATTGTAAGTTTAGGAAGATTGTGTAACGTTAATCTACCAATGTGGAAGGTGTGCCAGTATAAAATTTTATCATTTATAATCTTGAATTTTATTGACGAATAGGTTATAAATTGTCAAAAAAGAAGGGCAGTAGAAAAGCAGAATATGTGTGGGATATATATATATATATATATATATATATATAGAGAGAGAGAGAGAGAGAACGAAACGAAAAAAAAACGAAAACAGAATGAAAAAGAAAGCCAAGAAAAAGACAGGAAGAGAGAGAGAGAAAGAGAAAGAGAGAGAGAGAGAGAGAGAGAAAGAAATCAAATGAAAGATGGAAAACAGAAGAAAGAAAATAAACAGTGAAAAGGAGTCAACAAGGATTAAAAGAGAAAATGAAAAAGGAATGTGAAAAACAAATGAGAACATTAAATAACAAAAGAAGGGAAAGTGAGAAACAAAAATTATATATATATATATATATATATATATATATATATATATATATATATGTAGAAATATGTTGCTATAGTTGTAGTCGACTTTATTTATTTTTGACCGCATTTCTCTTATATAAAGAACTTCCAGAATTTTATGTTTTTGCTTGTTATTTTGATGAAGCAATAATTTATTTTCGACTAATATCTGTCTAAACTGTGAACGTGGATATAAGTGTCCCTTTAAATGTTCTGAGATTGAACTATGATCGTTCAAATGAAGCGTAAGCCTTCTCCTCATCATCGTTGTTGTAAACATTTTTATCAGAGCTGCAATCTCCCAAAGACCATTTAAATTGATATCCGATGTTGTTTTTTTGTAAGACGCTAGTTGGCGGAGAAGAATTCTTTTGCATGACTAGATTGACTGTATTAAATTTAGTATAGTATATAATTAATTTTACTTTTTTTTTACTTGAATCAGTAACATAAATAAAACATAAGTAAAAATGAACATAATACGTCCTCAAATAACTCTAAACATATCAAACTACTACACGGTAATCAAATGCATTCTAACTATAAGCAGAAGAAAAAAATCTAAAAATGACTCATAAACATATATATATTCCCCACTGATATGAACAAAGTAAAGATACATACATAGATATGAACAAAGTATTGACAGAGAGGAATAGAAAAATAAGATCGATAGATAGATAGATAGATAGATAGAGAGAGAGAGAGAGAGAGAGAGAGAGAGAGAGAAAGAGAGAGAGAGAGAGGGCTATGAACATAGCAAAGATAGATTGATAGATAAGAGTTGAATGAAAAAATAAGATAGCTATGAACATAGCAAACATAGATTGATAGAGTTAAATAGAAAAATAATATATATATATATATAGAGAGAGAGATATAGAGATAGATAGCTGACACAGCAAAGATCGATTGATAGTGCTGAATAGAAAAGTAATATATATATATATATATATATATATATATATATATATATATATAAATAGATAGATAGATAATATAAATATACTGACAGATATATAGCTATGTATAGATTAAGATATGAATAGACTAATATAGGTATGAAGAGAGAATATGAATAGATAAAAACATATAATGAATATATATATATATATATATATATATATATATATATATATATATATATATAAAGAGACTGAAATAGATAGAGATATTGATAGAAAAGAAACTGGGGTGAAAAATACATCAACAGATATGAACAAAACAAATATAGATAGATATGAACAAACCAAAGATAGATAGATAGATAGATAGATAGATGTGAATATAAAAAGCAAGATAGATAGTTAAATAGATGGATACGAACAGAGATAAGATAGAGATTGATAGATAGATGCGAATAAAAAGATGTAAGATAGATACGAACGGAACAAAAAGATAG